TAAAGTGCATGTGTTCCATTCATCCAAGTTAAAGCTAGCTTCCTTCCTTCGCTCTTTCTGTATTTATTCTTGTGTCCCTTCTTTTTCATGATGTCACTATCACTGAGCTAAATACAGCTCAACCAATAATATAAGCATCAGGCTTGAATATCTGTGCTAAATCTGTCCAACTTACAGCAGTGCCAATCTTGCTGCAAACTAGCAAGAAAAGGCAACTTCAAAAAAGAGCTTTTCTTATTGCTACTGCAGAAGTAATGATCTGTTCTTCTTCCTTTTTTTTTTTTTTTTTGGGTATTAATTCTTGCCCCGCTGAACCAAAATCCTTGCTCTGCCTCTGGTGGGATTGTTGTGGATCCACTGGGGTTTGTTACAAAACTTGTGCTCACAATTTTTGAAATGTGAACACAATAAATGGTGCCACATTCTGGAGGCACAACCATTTTGATTGATAGTGCCACTTTGATTCTTTCACCTGGAATCATTGGAAGGTTCCCTACTTTGTTGGTGAATAGAGTCTGAGTTTCTGGAATTACAGATTGCAAACCATTAAAAACATGCAAGTTTGAGAACTGAATCAATATGCAGAACCTTCTTGAAAACTAATATGGTATTAAGAGATTTTCATGATTATTGCGGTTGATGTTGCCTACTTCTATACATCGTGTGCGCTTCAATATTATGATGATGGTTGTTGATGTTTTTTGAATTCTTGCATGATTATTCTGTCAAACTATTCCACAGGTTGCACAATGAAAAGATGACTAAACTTCAGTCTCTCAAAGACGAGACTGATCATATACAATGTGCCAAAGTCAATGAAAGAAAAAAGTCTCAAGAAACTTTGTATAGATGCAGTTACTTCTCGAGCTACAGAGCAAAAACCCACAACTCGGCAGGTCAGATATGCTTTTCTAACGGATATATATATTTTCCGTTGACATTTCTATATTTTCTGAAACATTATGATGCATGCGCAGTTGAAATTATTGAAGGATAAGAAAGGGCGAAAAAAGTCGTCCACGTGGAGTAGCCTTCATAGAGTTCACGGAGCATCAACATGCACTTGTGGCCCAGAGAGTTCTTAACAATAATCCAGGTATTCTTCTCCAAATATACTGAACGTTCTCTCTTGTCAGAAACTGCATGCATTTGCTGCTCCAAAAGTAAATCCTGGTGTAAGGTTTACTTTCATAATATTCCTTTGGTACAAAAGCCAAGAATTTTGTACTGTGTTTTGTCGATGCAATTATTCAATTTAATAGGATGTGCTGATTCAATGATTTGCAGATACTTTTGGTTCTGAGCATCGCCTGATTGTGGAGTTTGCTTTAGATAATGTCCAGACACTGAAGCTTCGTAAAGAAAAACTTCAAGCTCAGAAGGCTTCTCTTGA